ATTCGCGATTGGTCGAGGATCGTGGCGTGAATCTCGGAACGGATCAATCCACGACGGTCAATCAGATGTTAATATGGTTTCCTACTATAATTATAAGTGTACCTTATTTAGGACTCCTCTATTTTATAAAGAGGGATCCCATTCATTTGTAATCATCATTATTCACTGATAAGGATATACACACTCGTTACTTTCCTGCTATTTCATTTACTGCTCATCCGAGTTTCTTTATCTTTTACTGTTCTTATTGTTCCACCTCGAGACTATCTCGAGTCGAGTTCAAGACCTTGCTAGCATACTGATTTGATTTATTTTATTCTCTAATTTATTCATTTACTTTCTTGCTTATCGATTGGTATTGGACGAATCACATACCCTTAAAATCATAGTATAAGTTTAATTGTTATCCGAATTCGAGGGTAAACAGTTTTCCTTTTGTTTTTGAAGAATCAAAGGAAGTGGGTTTTAATGGGAACTTCTTAATGTATTTGTCATGATTTTAAAATGAAAAATTTACTACTCCATAAAGGCCAAAATAATTTGATGACATGAGGAGAGATTGAGTAATAAACTTGGTTGTCTAGCTAGTGGTAGGCAATGACACTGTCTTACATAAAGTGATAAAGCTGCATGTGGAATCCTTCTGAAATTTTTGCTATTCAAATTGCTGTATAAGGAGAGACTGTTCACATAGCTTCTTTAACCCTGATTCACTTATCATACTAAGTAAAGAATCTTCACAGATACTCATCAACCTGTATCGACCAGGCCACTATTAACACATGCGATCCACAAAAGTATGTTAATACTAGTAGCACCACAATCCAAGAAAGTTTTGCGTCAATCGAGAAGATATATTCTTCCCACCAACTCATTCATTCTCCCGAAACACCTTTAGGAGTTGTTTTTTCTTTTCTTTTTTAAACTTTCTAAATTTAATTTCCATATTCCCATCTTATTTTGACAGCAAAATAGATAGTACTATATAGTTTAGTTTATTCAACACAAAATTTAAGAAAAAAGTCAAAATTTTAAAATTTATGTTCCTAAATATACCATAAAGTTTATGCGACTATAAATTTTTAAAATTTGTAATTTATATGTCGTAGTAATATTTACGTGACTGTAAATACGATATTTTTTTAGAGCGAAAGTAATAAGAAAATAGCGTTAACAAGGTAAAGGGAAGTAATTGTAGAAGAATGGATAATAAACATTGTTGTAGTACAATTCACAGTTCTTGACAAATTGAAGATTTTGTCAGACTCGCTTGTTGTAAGAAATGAAAGCTCTAAGAAGTAGGCCAATTCATCAGCAAGCTCTTGCATTTTGATACATCCTCAGAGATGAAACACGCCAGATCACACACAAACATTAAATATATAGGAAAAAAAAAAAAAAAAAGAAAGTAACCCAGAACCATGTCCAAGTATCCGAAGACTATATGCTATATCATAACACAAGATGCCACATTGAAACCCTAGCTAGGTTATAAAAATGAGAAGGGAAAGTACTAGGAGTAAATTTGAAACACGTAGTTCCTTAAAAATATGCACCATTTGCTGTCTGCAGATCTGACCAAGTGGAAATGCTAGGGTTCCAGAAATCCAATTCTCCTCCAGCACCCACCGGAGCCGACTCCAAAATCATTGACGACGATGATGTCGTATTTCCCAAAAGTGAAGGCGCGTGATCAGGATAGCACCGACTCGTTGACGCCTTGAGCCTTTGATATAACTCTTGAAGTCCTGAGCTTTGAACTTGGCCAATTATAGAACCACTTTGCTGGTTATTTTTCCACAAATTACTGCAAAGACCGAGAGAATTAGGAAGCTGATTATATGAATTCACACCAATTGATTTTCCCTCTTCCTTAACCACAACAGAACTTGGCAAGTGGCAGGTGTCAGCATTAAAACCTAGGTTTTGATGATTTCCTCTGAAAATGGAAATAAGAGGATATTGATTTTGAGGTGAGGAAGAAAGAAAAGGGTTCGAATTAGAGATTTCGTATTCGAGCCCTCCAAGAAAGGTTGGAAGTGAAGCTTTCAACTTTGCAGCACTTGATTTTGCTGCGGAGGTAGTAGAGATGTTAGTATTCTTGTTTTTTCTGCAGCCACCACCAATAGGAACGTTACGTAACGCACCACCTTTAGTCCAGTAACGGCGACAAGTCTTGCAGAAATGACGAGGCTGAGTTAAGTTGTAGTTGTTATAGTAACAAAACTTAGTGTTTGGGGAATCACAACGTGGACATCTAATATTTTCTGAGTTTGAAGAAGAGCTAGCATTTGCTGCTGCAGGAATATTTGTGGTTAAGGTTGAGGAATTAGAAGTAGAAGAAAGAGGAGAGGAGGAAGGATTATTGGATTGCTTTGAAATATTCTCCCCTCCTCCTCCTCCTCCTCCACCTATAAGGGTAGTATTTCCTGCGAAAAGCTCTTGAATCATCTTTTTTTGCTTTTTGTAAATATATTTCACACACTTTGATTACAGCCGGAAAGAACAAAAGGGGAATTAAAAAAGCGAGAGAAAAGAAAATTAGATTGGATTAATGCTTTTACTCATCTTTTCGAAATGGGAAAGCTAGAATATTATGGTATTGATGTATGTGAATGAGAGATATATATAGAGAGAGAATAAGTATGCTTTTGAGGGTGCGAAAGGATGGAGAGTAGAATGATAGACGGGCATAAATATATAGAAACTCTATAAAGAGAGGGGGCACTACTTAACTGACAACAATTTGTGATTTTTTTGGGATCTATCTGTAACTAGTGCTTCTTGAAGTGAAGTGAAAATGGACCTTCTTAAACGATCGTTGGAAAAAAGTTAACAGAATAATTGATTATGTTATATGCTGCTTATGCATGCAAAATCTTGTCTACTAATTCCTCGGTATTATCATATGTTCATCCACTTGATAAAGTATTTCATTTATTTTCCATGATCGTGTTTGACTACATATGTATCTAAGAAAAAAATATAAAAACCTTTTCAGACATTAATTAAATAATATTTTTATGTTTCAATTTATGTGGTAATATTATTATTTAGGGAGTGTAAGAGGTTGTTCTTTGACCATATTTTTCTTAAATAATTTATAAATATTTAAATTACAAATTATTACTCCCTTCCGTTTATATTATTTGTCATGTTTCTTTTTATATACCCTTTAAGAAAATATTAAATATCTTATTTGTTTTTTTAATCTATATATAATACTACTCTTAATTATACCGCATCAATCTTTCTCTTCACTTATTAGAATAAGGGTAAATATGAAAAAATAATTAATCATATCTTGATTTTCTAAACTGACGAGTATTTTGAACCAATTACTTTTAGTTACCACGATAAATAAAAAAAAGACCGGAGGGAGTATGATGTATAATATATTTTATGTAGTTTTCAAATATGTAAATTTTATTTTTAAAAACTTGAAGAATTTAATTATAATTTCATGGTCAAAATTAAGAAGTTTGATCCCCTACTTCGAATCGTACCACATAAAATGAAACGGAGGGCGCACATAACATACCAAAAAATCTTATTATCTTATGATATTCAATATGTCATGTCATTCGTACAAGAGAGAAATACCATATAAAATAAAAGTTGAGCAGTACTTCTTAAAAGTTAAACAATGTGCTCTAGGAACACCAAATTTAACATGGTATAATCTGAAAAAATTGTAGCATTTTTTCTTTGAATTAATCATCAGGTATAATCTTACATGACTAATTTGAATTCACGTCGGCGGGCAGGACTCGCTAATAAAGTTAGCCACTCCCTACTCATGTAAGAAGTTCTCTATTTTCTCATATGACAAGAGAATTAGTTTACCTATTTGCTGAATCTTAATCGTTTAACTGATTATGGTTCCACGTACATCAATGTAGTATGTTTCATAGTTGGGATTAAGAAAAGTTGGAAGATCTTCAAGTAGCTACGCTTAGCGCCACTACAAGAAAAGGCTCAATTTATGGGGTTACTTTGTCAATTTGTGACGGTTTTTGACCCTCACAAATTGTATTGTGGCGGTTTTTAAAAACGGCACAGTTACATTCTCCACAAGCATATTTGAGGTAGTTTTTTAAAACTTCCACGACGAACGCCACAAAATGACTTTTTACATTGTGGGGGGTTTTTAAATCAATTTGTAATGGCTTAAAACCTCCATTAATATGGTTTTAATGCTTCAAAAAAAATATTGCGGGGATTTTTAAACCCCCACAATATGTTTTCAGCTTTTAAAAAAAAAAATTATGTGGGGTTTTATAACCCCCCGAATATAATATTAATGTTTAAAACAAATTAGTCGTGGTTCATTTTGCCACAGTTAAATAGATAATTTTATTGAATAAGATATAATATAAGTCAAATTCCATTAGAAATAACCATAGTGAGAAACATTACAAACTCAAATCCATACCGGAATTAAACAAAGCTATTATCAAGTATGATATCTAATACGGTGACCAACTAGCTAGGATAGTAAAAACTGTATATATTCATTACATAAGATTTAGCTCTACCATTTATTCTAAATAGAATTGCTCTTTAGCTAAGACGCCAGAGACTGCCGAAACACAACTGACATGAAGTGTTGGGTTTTGGATGTATTTAATTAATATATTAAATATTTAAAAGAGGGTGAATGGGAAATGGAGGAAAATGAAATTTTTGAGTGAAATTTTAAGTCCCCCCTTGGCAAATGGACATTGTCCCATATTAGAAGAGGAAGAGGGTTTTTATGGGTATATAAGCAAGTGCTCTTCTTCAAGCTCTTAAAGAGTTGAGAAGAAGGCAAGCCTTGCACCGTCGTCGTCGTCGCTCGCTCGGCTTTGCTGCCAAACTTTGTGTTCGCTGAAACACTGGGGTTTGAAGTACCACTACACCAGTGTGTAATTCGTTCTATCCTGGGAGGAAATAATCTATAACCTTGGGTACTAGGAGGGGATTACATTCCTTAAGGAAACACCGTGAATTCAGTGGGCTCGAATTGGTTATCATTTCTGTTTATATTCATTTATATTTTCAGAATTATTTTACAAATACAGTTTACTAACAGGAAGTACTAAAACTCTTAAGGAAACTATTAACTCTTGGCAATAACATGGTAATGATACAATGGCAAAGAAATTGATTGGTTATAAAAACCTGAACTTAACTAAGAACAGGGAGTTCCCAATGTTCTTGTAATAATCAGCAATGAAGTTTAACCATGATGTGACCATACTCTCTCAGTTGTGCTGCGTCCATGTGCTTCAATTCACCCTCCCTAACTATACCACAAAAGAAAACCAAAGATTATACGTAAAAGCACATTCGGCAAATGTAAACTTTAAAGCAATGAGTATACAAATGCTTTTGAAGTGATGCATTTTAACATCAAACAAAGGCAATTAATAACACATTTGAAGCGAAGCATTTTGACATCAAAGTAACCACAACTTTAAGTATTATACCATTCATAACTCAGAGTTTGTTGAAGGCCACTCATTTTGTGCTTTTGACAAACCAAAGGAAAAAGCATATAGATGAACTACAACAAGGTCACTCATTTTTCATCATTCATGGCAACACTAAATCGGTGGAAAAGTATGAGTTCGTTGAAGTCATGAACTACACAGTAGTACTTATTCTCTTTATGGTACTAGACATAGATTTAGACTTGGATTTAATTGTACCTGGTCGTTGTACATAATACCTTTTATGGCAAAGGGACCTTCAACTTGTCCAGAACATATATTGTAGATAAAGTTACAAAAGTTTACATCCAATGCAATCAAGAATTCAAATTATGCAGAGCCTTTTTTATAGGTTAAAATTATACAAAGCCTTGACAAGACAAATGGTTACATTGATCAATCTAAATAAACCTTTTCTTTCCATAGATAAATCTACTATTGCAAATAATTTAACTAGTAAGCTTTCTCAGAAGTCACAATCTTCCAGAGGAAAGCAACCTTAGAACTAACCTTACACTTGAGCTTTCAGGAAACATATTGACAAAGTTCTACCTCATTATTTATTCCCTTGACTAACATGGAAATCCAACAGCCATATTTCATTATACTGAAATGACATAAATGCTTAGGAGCTCAAACAGGGACAAACATAAATCTCATGCAACCGAAAAAATGAAGCAAATATTTTTTTATATAAGAAGAGAGTAGTCTCCTAATAAAACTAAGGCCGGCAGCCCCTTAAAGTTGTCCTCAGTTTTCACTTACACACTCTATCTTAAGTTCGTTCCATTTGAACACTTCAACCATATCTCACATGCCATTTAGACACAAAAAGCTGACAAGGCAAGTCAAGTGTTCTTCACATTTTCCAGGCGCGTGAAATGGTCCAAAAAACAAACTCCCCATCTTTCTTCCCAGAAAATGAATAGTTTTTGCCGGAAATACTTTTCGTCAAATGTTTCTTTTAATTTTTCTTCATTTTATCTCCATGTATATAATCACCTTCTCCATTCACCCCCTTCTCATATTCCTCCTGACCTATTGTAGTCCGACGAATGTGGCGGAGAATTTGGAGTGTCGTTCCTTTCGGATCTGAAAAATTTGGAATGTCATTCAAGATTTGAAATTAGAGCCTAATTGTATGTAACTTTCAACAAAATTTGTTGGTAGTACTCCAAAGATTCTTGGCTAGGCTAGAATGTTACTGATATTACTAGCTCTCTCTCTCTCTCACTGCTCACGCTCAGTGGTGTTTTGGCCTTGTTGAAAAGAGGAACTTTCTCTGCTCTCTGTTCTACTGTCCTAATTCTTTTTACTGTTTTGGTATTTCAGTTTAATTTTGTCAAAGGTAATGCAACTCTGGCAAAGCTTTGACTGACCTCAGTCCTCAAGTCTCAGATCTAAATCTTTGACAGACCTCCGGCAATTTCTAAATGTGCTTTCTCACATCAGATCTGGAGAAGAAAACGAAGGAGATAGAGAGTTTTGCAAAGATAAAGTAGGGGGGGTTGTCAGGAAGATGACGGAAGGAGGGGGGGCATCGGAGAATATGGCGAAGCGGTGGGGGCTGGTTCTTTTTTATTTTATTTTATTTTGTTTAAGTTAAGTCCACGCGTCCTTGTCTTATTCGTCACTGCGTGTGAATTACACGCATCTTCTGTGTTTGACTGCCTATCAATTTTGTATCTAAATGGCACATATGAGATATAGTTGAAGTGTTCAAATGGAATGGACTTAAGATAGAGTGTGTAAATGAAAAGTGAGGACAACTTTAAGGGGCTGCCGATGTATTTGTCCTAAAACTAAGGACAACAACAACTGTACTACAACTACTATTACTATTACGCCTCAATTTCCAAGCTAGTGGGTTAGCTATATGAATCCTCACTAACCATTTCGACTACCAAAGATAAATATAGAATCTAAATCCTCGACAGGCAGAATATAAAGTATAAAGCTCCCACCCAACTGCAAAAATTAGAATATAGTTTCTGTGACTTCTTGCATTTTATTAATCACTGAGAGAAGTTGAAGTATTAAGTATGTCCAAATTACTACAAATTTCTAATAACATGAGATGAGTAAGGACCATGAGGGGCAAGTATATATAGTTTTTCCTTAAATTTTCCTCCTATTAAACCCAATGGACTTGTTTTGTAGCAAAAAGATGCAAGCACCTATTTATTGGGCACCCAAAGTTATTGGTCGTCCATCGGGTATCTTATAGGAAATGAAGCACCATGTAACAGTCATAGCAACATCTGCAATTTATGATCATGACTTTTATTCTTTTTTTTTTTTTTGGTTGATGAATACGGTCATAGTTCAATTTATTCAACCATCCTAAAGCTCTAAGGTCAAACTTTAAGTTGGTGTAGAAAAAGCCTCTTACTTGAGAGGATCAGCTGAGTAGTGAAGGAAGCTTACATAAGACTTTGTTAATAACCCTAGGGAACAAGAGAATTATCAAACATATGATATCACCAGTTATATACAAAGAACAGTTAATTTAGAGAGGTGAGGTTTACCTCATGCATAGCCTTTCTCATCTCCAAACATGTAGCTTCAATTCTGCTATACATTGGCTTATTTTAATCCTTTTATCTGCTTGCAGAGTTCAATGGGAGAATAAATAACGATATTTCATCAAACAATTGGCCTGCACTATACACATAAGTAAATACAGTAAAAATAATCTTACAAGTTTGTCTGTACACAAGAATAAGATTAAAACAACAGAAAGTAAATAAAATTGCAATGGTAAGAACAAAAAATCGAAGGCAGCAAGAGGGATTTGTTATACCTTTTAGAGTTGTAGACTAGTGAAGCAAAGAGCACTAAGACTTGTGGTATAAGAGTGAGGAGATTTATACAGCAATCATCAACGAAGTTAGGGATCATTTAAAACTACTCAAAGCTTTGGCCCCCAAAATTCTCTATGCAACAACCCTAACAATTTAAGCAACGACTAGGTACTGGTAAACTATTGCTGATTTCACAATGGTAAAATATTAAGTTGGATCTGCAGCATATCAATGAATAACGCAAGGAAATAAAATCTGTACGAGTTATGCAATCAATTCTTGAAAAATAAACCTAGTGAATGTTTTTCCACCTTTAATTTCCCACCAGCAAAATTAGGGTTTGACTGTCGAAGTCTATGGGCAGCGACAGTAAGAGAGAGAGAGAGAGAGTAGCGATAGATGAGTTGTAATACCTGGGTTCAGGGGATGGTGCCCTGCGATGGGGAGACAGAGCGACGACGGTTAGGCAGCAGAGACGAGATAGGTTGGGCAACAGCGAGCGCGTAGTGATGAGATATTTCTGAAATATTTTCAAAACTTATTTTATGATTTTTTAAAGAGCAATAAAATGAGGAAAATATAAAAATAAAAAAATGGAATGGAGGGAATAGGTCATAGTTGGGTTAAGAACATCGCAGGAAACATAAAGAATTAAAATTTTGACTGGCTTTTAGTGGGGGTTCTTTTACAACCCCTATAGATAAACCTCCACAAACACAATTATTTTAAAGGGATTGGTACAAACGCCACAAAACTAACGACTAAAGGGGGTTTCTTATGACCTCCCTAAATAAACCCCAACAAATTGAGCTTTTTCTTGTAGTGTTAGTGGAACTATTCAAATAGTGCCTGACAGCAGTAACGCGGTGCTCATGTGTTTTGCAATCCATCTTCATAATAGATAGGTATACTAGTAATAATTTAATTAAGGGTATGAAAGTGGTAATTAGAAATGAAATTATTCGGGACAAGGTAGGCGTGGTCTCCATGGTGGACAAGATGTGGGAGGCGAGACTTAGATGGTTCGGACATGTGAAGAGGAAGATACACCGGTGACGAGGCGTGAGAGGCTGGCCTTGGAGGGCCTAAGGAGGGGTAGAGGCAGGCCGAAGGAGTATCGAGAAGAGGTGATTAGGCAAGGTATGGTGTTGCTCTAGCTTACTGAGGACATGACCATGGATAGGAAGGAATGGAGGTTGAGAATAAAGGTAAAGGGTTAGGTAGCCTAGCGTTATCCTTGTATGTAACTGTAGCTTTAGTACATGGCTTAGTGTCATTTGTGTATTTTCGTATTCTTTAACTTCTGATATTACTTGTTGTTGCTTTCGTTTCAGCTTTCCGATTGCATTACCTGGTGTTAATTTGGTATTTTCTCCTTTGGTTTTCTGATTGGTGTGCTTGTTGTTGCCCTTCAGTTTTCCTTTCCTAAGCCGAGGGTCTACCGGAAATATCATCTCTACCTTCTTGAAGGTAGAGGTAAGGTCTGCGTATATACTACACTCCCCAGACTCCATTTATAGGATTACACTCGTGTTTAACCAAAAAAATAATTTTCAAGGTCAAAGCAATTATTGTTATATGACGGATCACAAGCAACCGATTCGATACGAAAGATATAAATAATTTGTTAATACAACATGATAGAGAAGTGAAAAATAGATCTAATGGCAGATAATATAATAAAAATAAAGCAGTGAAGAAAAAGTCTTATTGGTGATCCTTGATAGGCTGATGAGCCGAAAAGAGCTCGAGGACCCAAATTATGGCAAACTCGGGAGCAAGTTGCTATGAATTATAATGCATATAATTGTAGAGAAGAAAAACTAGATGATTACAATGATGGTAAAGTGTGTTTATTTATAGGGCTAAATCTAAGTAGCCATTCTTCTTGAATTATGGGTCCATTATGAGCATTTACTCAATCCATTTGTTACTTTTGGAAGACTTGTAACAACTGAATAAATGCTGGAGTTCCATAACTGATGAGTTAATTATGTAAATGTTGAGTCTATCCCGTACCTGTTGAGTCAATTCCATACATGTTGAATTAATCTCGTGCTTGTTGAGTCAATCTCGTGCCTATGGAGTCAATTTAATAATTGGTTGCCTTGTTCTGCCTGTTACAATATTTATTGCATTTATTGTACGTTACATAATTGATTTAACTGATGGCGTAATGATGGTAAATCTCATGTAATCCGTGATTAATTGATTCTTTCCTCATTTGTAATTATGAGCTATTCTCCCATACTCGATTTGGGGCTATTCTATGATGATCAGTTCTGAAACTAATAGGCACAGTTCGAGTATATATTTTGATCCTTAGAGTGTCTCACATCTCATCTTTACATGTTATTCTTCACTTTTTTTTTTATAATTTTGCTGACATGTGTAACTATTTGATGGACCCATGTAGTGAGTCTATTTTCACTATCACTAATACAACGGGGTTTTGTTGTTGTTGTTGTTGGGGGTAAGAAAGTGATAATTTGGGAAGAGCCAAGAATCTAGAATGATGATAGCAATCAAGTTTCTAAAAGAAACCTAATTGAGGGCTTTGTGCTTGATATGCAATTATAGAGAAACAATCATCATTACAAGTATAAAGCATTTATTGCCTGGAAATACGTGTAAAGTAGCTAGATGCACGGCCCGCCAATATAATTTGTGGTGCCCCACGAAACTTTAAGCATTATATTTTCCAATTGCAACCCTAACCATGCTAATCCTCCATCTAATCTTTCTTCCTCTTACTATGAGTCTTATCCCCTATATATTCTTTGTGTGGAGATAACTAATTAATTAATAGTAGTATATGATTATCGTGCCACACGTGTGACTCGTGGGTGGGCATCATCATGATATCAAATCATATAAAGCATTTACGACCCAAATTCCACAATGTAATCGACATATCTTTAAAATTACACTCTAGTTAATTAATTTGTTCTTGATTGATCACCTCCCAATTGAAGGGGTGGAACTAGTTTTTTCCCCTTTTAACCGTAGTGTTGGGTTAGTTTGTGCATCTACACTATCTAATTTGATAGCTATTATTTTCAGTCACCACATCAGTAGATAATTCTGTCTCTAAAAATTTGGATAGATAGGAAAATATTAAATCACCTACCGATAGAATTAGATACGACCACACCCTTGATTTAGGTGGTAAAATCAGTTTCAACGACAGAGAGAAGGTTTGCATAGAAGAATGTTAATTTTACATTTTTGAATTAAAGTATATTTTTGCCCTATGTCGAAGTAACGTGGTGATTCTCTATGATAAGTCGCGCTCAAATGATCATGCTTAGAAATGTATTATTGCATTTCTATTCAATATTACTGCTTATTTTTCAACTTAATTACATTTATCTGAAAAAGATAACACGAAAATATTGGCCCAAAATGTGTTAATTTCTCCGGAAATAAGTTATGCAACTTGCTAGAATTTCATGTAAGGACGGATGGCTGTTAAAAGTAGAGTTCACATCTAACGTAAAACACCACTTTGAATTCGCTTCGCGTCTTTACGGAAAGCTAAACATGACAAAACTATAAAGATTACTGTTTCTCGACTTGAAAGCTAATTATCTGAGCTAAAACGTGCGTCTCGTGAGAGTTTACCCAACCATCGAATAAATTCGTAGTTTTGTACCATACAAGACATTAAAAAAGACCAGTGGTCTCTCCATCTTCCAAGTCTGTTCTTGACATTTCAACATATATAGTTAACAATACATCGGATTTTACGTTCCTCCTATAACTCAATATTATATGACGGTGGTGTTTGATTGGACACAAGGTTTAATAATTTAAAGAAGGCTTGTAACATACACGTAAGCTAAATTTTATGACAAGTACCAATCATAAATATTTGGAGATCTTTACAAAAATAGTGGGGTCAAATTTACTGTTTACTTTTTCTAGTTAGTATTATATAAATTATACAATGACTATATACGATTATGCACATATTATATATGGATTATACATATATTATATATTCACCAGCTATTTTAAATTTAAGCGCCTAGGTAGGCGGTTATTTAAGTTAATTCTTCAAAAGTTAATTTATCCGCACTCTTTGTTTTTGCACCAACCCAATGAATACACGACACATGTATGTAATATACTTGCATAACTAAATTATAAGTTAATTAATATGCATGTTCAACTTATTTCATGACTTAATCATGGTAAATTAGTATGATTTGATATAAACAACGGATGACAGATAAATATTTTTCCAAGATTATCATTTTAAATGAGTGGTGATCAAGGCCCTAACAATTCATATTATTAAAAGTAAAACGGAGATACTAAGATTAAATGGTTTCCAAACAATAAAAGTGTTCTTTTAGGAACAAACTGAAAAACAAAGCGTGTCATATCAAATGTGACTAAGGGAGTACTATATAACCATTGTTTTACTCAAATAATTAACAAGGGCAATGCATCTTGCCAATTTTGGTGACTGAAATTAGATAATCATTCAGGTTAGTAAAATTAGGTAGGTAATTATCGTTGCGAAAGAATATTTTTCATCTCTTTGAAACGTCACAGAGGGTTTTAGTAAAAGATAAAAGAAACAATTCTGTTTCAGCTGGGCTTTCTCTACACTTGGTGTTTGCCACTGTTTATAGGGTTTGGAAAGTGGACCATAAATGGAGAGAGATCCCCTATGCCTGCTGAGTATTAATAGTACAATTTTCCTTGCTTCGATAGTCGCAACAAAAAAAGAGAATTCCAGTTGATACAATTCCATTCTAAAGAAAGAAGGGAATATTATTGGATGAGAGAATGACATAAAGCAAGAGGGAGATGTGTACTTGACGTCTTGACCTGACCGCGCGTGCCGTCCGGAACGGCAGCGAATTCAGTACTGTTTGTTTGTCCTCTGCGCTAACAAAAAAAGAAGACCTTCGCCATCCATTATTGCTCTAATGTGGTGGTGCAAGGACAGCAATCACCAATCCAGATATACGAAAAGGACGTCTTATGAATCGACCTGAGTGTAGATGTCCGTTTCTTTTTCACTTTTTTTTTTTTTTGGTTTATTTGGTTTAACAATACAATTCATCAAGTTCATTGGTTCGACCAATTTAAATTTGCGTTAGTTAGGTTCATATCTCATTGTGTCACGACCCGGATTTCCCACCCTCGGGGTCGTGTTGACGCCTACTCGTAGAAGCTAGGCAAGCCACAAATCATAAACTCCTAACTCTTTCATTTTAAATTCTTTTTACTAATCATATCAACAAGCGTTAAATATTAGAATAACAGCGAAAATATGAAATTAAAGCGGAAGACTTAAATTAAATAAACTAAACAATAATGCGAAAATCATCATATGCCTCTACCCAAGAACTGGTGTCACAACATCTACGGACTACTAAGAGTACTAAATACAACAGTTTGAAGGAATAATAACACTGTCTCGAAACATGAGATAACAGAATGAAATGTGAGATAGAGGAGACGCCGGGCCTGCGGACGCCTGCAAAGCTATCTCGGTGTCTCGGTGGACTGAAGGAAGACTCCCGAACTACTGCTGCTGTCCGGTACCTGGATCTATGCAAAAGAGCACAGAGTGTAGTATCAGCACAACCGGCCCCATGTGCTGGTAAGTGCCTAGCCTAACCCCGGCGAAGTAGTGACGAGGCTAGACAGGACTACTGTTAGCCCCTTGACAAAGGTCCTCGGCAGGTGTGGGCTGTGACAAGTATTTTCATGATGGACTTGGCACACAACCTGAAAATTGGGACAACATCATGACGGGCAGCTCGGAATGACGGACTATGCGGGGTTTGA